AGTATTTTCTTGAAAGATTGAATTTTCTTGTTGTTTGGATCATTCCTCTACAGATTGTTATTTTTTAAACACCTCCCTCTCTTTCATTGGACTTGCTGAATTCTCTGCTCATTGATCAACTTAAGAGATAGCATTTTGCCTGTGTGGGTTGATGCAAAGTAAATTCTACTTTTATTCACTGCCTAATATACAGTTTAATCTTGTACTTTACGTCAGTGGTTTTTTTTAGAAGTTGAATTAGCTTTTACCAAGGGTTTTTAACTCCCATTTTTCTCAAGTTGTTTGCTTATTCTTCAGGTAACCTCTTGATACTTGTATTTAACAGTACAAAATCTTTATGAAAAATAATTTTAGAATGCAAATAAGTTATTGGCTTGAGGAGAGTAGGGACTACATTGTTTATTGCAATTAAGTTGTATCATACTCTTTTTAGTATTGTTAAGCCAATATAAACCTCTTGTCCTTGTAGGGAAAGGCCTATAGTATAAATATCAAGTAGTTACTTTGAATGCCAACTCATAAAGAGTTGTCGTTTAATTTAGATGTTTATATTCAGTCAAGTTATAAAATACTTCTTTTGCTGTTGCACTTCTCAAAGAAGAGTTCTTGATATGGGATTTTTTTGTAAACCATCTTCTACCTCTCAGCTGCTAAAAGCTGGAACTTCGGAATTTTCCGTGCTATACTTCCTATAGCTACTGAAATGTGTGATTTTTATGATTTATTAAATAATAATTTGGGAGGCAGTTTCTGGAGACTGTGTGTGAATATATACACACGTTGATGTTTGCACCTATGAGTAAGGGGAGGATATGATGAAAGTGGAAAACTGGAACTTTGTTACTTTTTATGTTTATAATTTGTAGTATTTAGAATACTCCTGAGAAATCTACTGAACTAAAGAAATGCTGTGAATGGACTTGGTTTTCTCATTAATCCATGTTCATTTTTGCCTGAATCACATACACAGTATAATCCCTATCTTTTGTATGTGTTTTTTTAAGGTTATATTATATATATTTTATCAGGGGAAGAGTAGATGGCCTTATTTTCTACTAATAAAATGAATATATAGGATCCTAGAAACATAGCAAAAAAAGAGAAGCTTTGTCCACAGATAGGATAAATTTATGTAATGTAATTATTGGACTTTGATTTCCAGAAATACTAGAAAATAATTGTAAATTGCTATGCCATGATACTTAGGTAGACGAGAGCTTTCAAAAAACTGGGCCAAAAAATTTCAGAACAAGGTTCAAACAAAAAGAGAGGTAGTAAGGACAGAAAATGGACAAATAGGTTACAGTGAATATGGATCTTTTTTCAAATGCCTCCTTTGAAGAAGTGGGTATTCTTTAACCTTTTGAATAGGGAGAATAGAAATGGAGAAATGGATAGAGTTGTTCAGATGTCCAAGCTTTAGGTTTTGTTTATTTGAATTATTTGTGACAGTCTTGAACCCTGTGTATAAAGTTATTAATGTTATTGGGGCTGGCAGGTAGCATGGCAGTTGAGGCGTTGGACTCCCAGATGACTGACCATGGTTCGAGTCGTGGACCTAGCAGCTCACTGTCGTACTTTCCCTTTCGCCCTCTCACTGGTCAAATTAAAAAATGACAATAAATAAAATTAAATAAATAAATCTTTTAAAAGAGGTTATTAATATTATTAAGACCTATACCTTCTGCAGCAGAATATTTGAGTGTGTGTGTGTAGTGAACAAACACTTACCTTGGTATGTCTTTGAAATACAAACATGGAATTTTTCTGAAGAGAATATATTATTGACAGGGCTAATAACTTCTAAGTAAAATAAATATAAAGCATTGTTTATAGTTAAAAGGCAAGTTGTTTTGGACATTGGTGACAGTATTAGTTATATTGGATCAAATTATTTGGCTGAGGGGACAGTGCAAATTATTTAAACATCTGTGTGACCTTGGACTGGTTGCTCACTCTTTGTTAAATATGGGTGTCGCGCTTTACCTATTGAACTAAGAGATACTTATCTTTAAGACAGTCTTGTTTTGGGCCAGCAGGTGGTGTGGTGGTTGGGGCTCTGGATCCCACGTGTCTGGGTGTACCTTTTGAGTTCTGGACCTGGGGATTTGAAAAACATGCTGGGTGTGTGTGAGTGGATGCCCATTATCTCAAGGGGAGAGTGGAGGAGAAGAGATTGTGGCATGGCCATCCCGACTGGGGATTGATTTCTTATTCCTCCTCTCCTTCTGTCTCTCTTCTCTAGTGAGCCCTTGTGCCCTATAGCAACTTAAAAAAAAAAAGAAGAAGAAGACAGCCTTGTTTTAATGAGAAAGAATTTTGTGTGTGTGTGTGGGAGAGAGCAGGGTTTTCAAATCATTAAAGGTTTCATTGGTGAAACTACTCTCCATGTATTTAGACAGCTATCTTAATGACCCTAAAACACATATTATTTTCTTTTTTCTTGAGAGAGATTTTTGCAATAGGGTGCGCACACTTGCAAGAGAGACAAAGTGAGAAATCCCCCTCCAGTAGGAATCGCCACACCACAGTCCCTTCTCTATCCTCTACTTGAGATTTTGAGCACACGTGCATACACATTTGACATGAGTTTTAAGCCACTGGGTTCAGAACGTGAACTGCTGTTGGCTACATGGGTCTTCAGCACCTTAACCATTACACTGCCTGCTGCCCCCCCCCCTACATTTTCTCTCAATGCATGCCTTTCTTTTCCATTGAACTTTGGGGGTGGGGGTTTCTTCCTCTTCGTTTTCAATTCTACCTGAAACATCGCCTTTTTTACTAGCCTCCTTTTCTTCCAGGCCCTGGCTCTGAAGAATCACATGATTTGCTAAGATTTCTTAGAGAAATAAGTACATAGACATCTTTTGGGAAGAGTTTATTGTAGTTACTTATATATACTTTAACAAAATTTACATATGGAGAGTTCTAGGTGTTTACCAGGTCCTCACAGTTTTATAGAAATTTATATCCCTACTTACTAAACGATACATTATAGCTTTGAAGTCTGTGTGCAAGGAAGGGGCAAATAAAACTTTGATTTATAGCTTTCTTCATAAAGATATGTTAGGTCTCTTGTCTATTCTAGTTATTTGATGAATCTTCCCATTTTGCATAAAAGTGTCCCAGGTGATCATTTCTTTGCTATTAGCTTTATTCCTTTGTTGTAAATTGGAACAATCCTTCTTTTCTTTCTTCTCTCCCACCTGTCTTTACTCCTTTTTCTTTCATAGTTATTAATTGCTTTCTTTATTGTATGCAACACAATGTATTAGGCAGTAGAAATAATTATTATTTCTTTGAAATAACTTGAATTTTGAGCTTAACTGAATGAAGTGCTTAATGGTTACAGAAACCAGTAAGGTATAATCTGTGTTTCAAGCCTTGACAATCTAGTGGGCCAACATACATGCAAGAAGATATATGGGGTTGGGACCAGCAGGTGGCATGGTGGTTAAGGTGCTGGCCACTCCCACATGGGCGACCACGGTTCGAGTCCCAGACCTGGCGGCTTCCTTTCTCCCTTTCTCTCTCTCTCTCTCTCTCTCTCTCTCTCTCTGCCTCTCTCTGGTCAAATTAAAATTAAATGAATGAATAAATAAAGTTAAATAAATAATAATTTTTTAAGCATTTTTTTAAAAAAAAGATATATGAGGGACTAGCAATTGGCATAATGGCTATGTCACTGGACTCCCATGTAGCCGATCACAGTTTGAGTCCCAGACCCGGTGGCTTAAAATTCAGCCAGGCGCACGTGTGTGCGTGCATGTCCAAGATGCCCAGAGGAGAATGAAGGAGAAGGGATTGCAGTGTGGCCAATCCCCCAAGGAGGTGATTTCTCATTTTCTATCTCTCTGTCTCTGTCTCTCTGGTGAGTGAACGTGCCCTGTAGCAAAAACCAAAACTCTCCAGAAAAAAAAAGAAGTTATATGGGGCGACAAGCTGGTGTGGTGGTTAAGGCATTGGACACCCACATGGCTGACTGTGGTTCAAGTACAGACTGGGTGGCTTTCTCTGTATATCATCAAATTGAAGAAAAAAAAGAAGTTATATGGGGCGACAAGCTGGTGTGGTGGTTAAGGCATTGGACACCCACATGGCTGACTGTGGTTCAAGTACAGACTGGGTGGCTTTCTCTGTATATCATCAAATTGAAGAAGAAGAAGAAGAAGAAAAAAAAAGTTAGCAGCACTGGAACAGGTACTGGTGCACCAGGGCAGGTCCCACGTTGGCATGCAGGGACCTCCTTCCCTTTCTCTCTTTCTGTCTGTCTGGTCAAATTAAAAATGATAATAATAACAAATTTAATTAAATAAATAAATAATTATTTTTTTAAAAAATAAATTGTCTGCTAAAAAACACTGGAGCCAGCAGGTGGTGTAGTGGTTAAGGCACTGGACTCCTACATGGCCAAATGTGGATTAAGTCTTGGATCACGTGACTTGAGAAATCACTCCAGGCGCATGTGTGTGTGTGCCTGTCCAAAATCTTAAGAGGAGCATGAAAAAGAAGGGATTGAGGTGTGGCTATGCCCCCTGGGGGTGATTTCTCACGTTCTCTCTTTATCTCTTTCCTTCTCTGAGCACTTGTGCACTATGGCAAAAACTTTCTTTTTAAAATAAGTATATAAAGAAACCTACGGAGTAAGGATTTCCCTATAGTTTTTTGGATTTTGTGTGTGTGTGTTTTATGTGGGTTTTTTGGGGGTTTTTGGACAGAATTTTGCTATGGGGTGTATGCACTCTCCAGCAAGAGACAGAGAGATAGAAACAGAAAGTGAGAAATCACTTCCCATGGGGGTGGCCACACCACTATCCCTTCTCCATTCGCCTCCTGGGATCTTGGGCGCACATGCGTAGTGTGAGAGTCAGCCACTGGGTCTGGAGCTCGAACTGTGACGACCATGTAGGAATCCACTACACCGTCTGCTAGTCCCTATAGTTCTTATAATTAAAATGGGAGCATCCTCACCAGGACTTTTCTCCTCCACAGTTTTAAGGCGTAAAAAGAGTCAAACTTGCTTGTAGCCTCTTTAGTAAGTAAAAAAAAAAATAACCATCTTTGCCTTTTGACTGTTCTCTAGCCTCCAGTTTTATTAGAGCAGTCATTGAGGGTTGTTCACATCTAAGTGGCAGTTCACCTCATGTCCAGCAACCCTACTTTTCTGCAATTGTATTTGGAAGCTGCCCTCAGTCTTTTACTAAAGATATTTGTTAAAGAAATGCAGGGTAGTAATAGCTAAAATCCAATTCAAGATAAAGTTGAAGAAGTTATACTAATGTGGATTCTTTGTTCAAAGAGATCATGAAAACTTTTTTGAAACTACCTTTGTATAAGAGAATCCATTTTAGGTTTAGCACAAATCAGGCCATTGTGAAAGATCTACCAGAAATTGTGGAGGGAGAATAATCTGCACATTATAACATGAAAAGAAAGGTGATGATACAACTGTTTGGTTTGAGAATGTTTCATCTATTGGCTCAGTCACTCGTTAATATTTTACCAGGTCATATGTGAGTTTAAGTTATACTACAGTGTGCAATCTGGTTCACCTTTAAAGACTTTTTAAATAAAATTCTTGACATTTTTAAACACAAAGGGATTACTCCCACTTTAAAACTGTTTCTTTTTTTAAAGAAGAATTATATTGGGGGACCAGCAGGTTGGTGTGGAAGTTAAGGCGCTAGATACTCGCACATGGCTGAACACGGTTTGAGTCCCGGACCTTGTGGCTTGCTTTCTCACTTTCCCTCTCTCTCTCTCTGTGTCTCTGTCTGATCAAATTAAAAATAAATGAATAAATGAAATCGAATAAATAGTTCTTTAGAAAAAGAATTATTTTGTTTAACTTTATTTATTTTAATTTGACCAGAGAGAGAGAGAGAAGATTAAAGCAAGCTGCCAGGTCCAGAACTCAAACTGCAGTCGGCCATGTGAGAGTCCAGTGCCCTTAATCACCACACCACCTGCTGGCCCAGAAATTGTTTCTGGTGTTACTACTTTGTATTTCTTCTTAGGAAATTAGATATTCCTCCTATCTTACATAGTACTACAGAAGTATTTCTCAGCTTACCCGAGAATCTAATCATCCAGAAGATAAATTCTAGACCAAAGTTGTATTAATTAAACATTTATTTCTAAATATTTTCTTTAAAACATAACAAAGTCACTGTATGTATCTTTTATTCTTTTTTCCCAGTGGCTTCTGGCTACAAGGCAGTTTGATGACAGGGTGACCTTGTGTAATAAATTATAGTTGCTATCTAAATCAGGGAAGGTATAATAACCTTGTCTCTGAAGACCACCATTTGTTTCAGTGTAGATGCTTGCTTAGCTCCTGGATGCCAGACTATAATATTAGAAGAAAATTGTGTGAATACACATTTAGATCCCAGGTAATTATAGTGAGATTTGTGAGTAATTGATGTTAAATCTTAAGAAATCTGCTACCTCACCTCATAGTAGAAAGGGCAAAATCTATTATTGCTATTTCATATTCTGAATAAACTAAATCTGATTTAGAAACTCTGTGTCTATTTGGTGTAATTTAATGCTGCTTCCTTGATCTTTCTACTGTCTACAGAGCCAGAGCCCAGAGGTGGAGCAGTTAGGGAGGGTTGTGGAACTGGACAGTGACATGGTAGATATCACACAGGAGCCAGTTTTGGATTCCATGTTAGAAGAAAGCGTGCCTGAGGATCAGGAACCTGTGTCTGCCTCAACACACATTGCATCTTCACTGGGAATTAATCCACATGTCTTACAGGTGAAGTCCTAACCCACTCTTCCTACAACAGCCAAACTAATATTTTAACTCCCTTGTATAACATTAGGCCTCTTCCTAGATTATTCTCCTAACACCATTGAGTACTCACTGTGAAAATAAAAAAGAATAGGCAAGAATTTGACCAATATTTAAGTCTAAATTTCTCATTCAAGGAGGGAAAGCTATATATTGAAGATCTAATAATAGGACTTCTGGTTTGAACTATTAGAATATCACAAAGACCCATGTTGCAATTCCGGTTTTATAACTATTTTTGTGTGACTTTTGGCAAGTCATTTAACATCTGTGAACACTAATTTTTCTTTATAAAATACTACTTTGTCTTTTTCACAGGGTGGTATTGACGATTTAGAAAGTGTTCCACAAAATTTGTAAATGGAAAAACAAAACAAAAAGCCGTGGTAAATACGGATTTTTTTACTGGGTCTATTTCTCCGCTCATGCCTTTGGTATGAGTTTAGTCCTTGACCTATAACTTTAAAATTATTTATTTAGCAAAACATGGGAAGCTACTATATGCCAGGGTCTAGTAAGATTTTTTTTTTTTTAGGATACAAAGAAGAAAGTATTACGTGACTTCAGTCTTTCAGGCACATACTGTATAATAGTCACACAAATGTTATATTGGCTATGGACACAACTTTAAAGAGGAGCAATTTTGTGGTGAATAGACACTATTTCCTTTTTATGCACTTTCAGTTCTAGGAGCACATTCATTCTATAGATATATTGCCTTTTTAGATCATGAAAGCATCATTGCTTGCTGATGAGGAAGATGTAGATATGGTGCTGGATCAACGCTTCACTCGCCTTCCTTCCAAAGCAGATACTTCTCAAGAAATCTGTTCTCCCAGACTCCCCATTTCAGCATCTCACTCATCAAAATCCCGTTCACTAGGTACTGTATAAAATGTGCTGTTTTATAAGAAAACTAGAGAGTCAACAAATCCTGCCTTTTACAAATCTTCTAAGCTGAGTAGACATCTCTAACAAATATTGCTTTAAAAGCCATACCTGAGACAAGGATACTAAGAGAAGTTGTACTCATGAATCTCAGAAGTGATCATTTTCTTCTTTTTTTAAAGTTTTTGCCATAGGGTGCATATACTTGGTGGAGATAGGCAATGAGACGGAAAGTAAGATATCACTCCCCAAGGAGGATGACCATAATCCCTTCTCTGTTCTCATAGGGCTTTTGGGCAGGCATATACATAGACACATGCACCTGGCTTAATTTTCAACCCGCCAGATCCAGAACTTGAACCAGTCAGCTGTGTGGGAATCCAGTGCCTTAATCATGTTGCTACCTGCTGGCCCCAGGAGTGGTCATTTTTTAAGAACCATAATCACACCTCAGTTGGTACAGATGTAGAAGTTGTATGGTGAAAAAAGCATTCGTGTTTTGTTTAGAAGTCGTGTTTTTGTTAACTTAGGAATTTCAAAACATTTTGAAAGTCAAAAGAACTACCAGAGGGAGATTTGTTTATGTTGCCTTAAAAACTACATATTTAGGGGCCAGCAGGTGACACAGTGGTTAAGGCCACCTAGACCCAATTGCTTGAAAAACATACTGGGTGTGTGTATATGCATGCCCAAAATTCCAAGAAAGATTGTGGTTCCCTGAAACAATTACTATGATAGTAACATTAGGGTTTACTGACCAAAGATCATTGTACCTAATAAAATAATAATGAAAGAATTTGAAATGCTGGGAAATTACCAAAATGTCAGGGATACTATGTCAGTGAGCCCATACTGTTGTAAAAATGGCACTGTTAGACACTCAATGCAGGATTACCAAAACTTCTCAGTTTGTAAAAAAAAAAAAAATCCAGTGTAAGGGACTAGCAGTTGGTATAATGGCTATGTCACTGGACTCCCATGTAGTCAAAAGGAGAGTGAGAAAGTAAGCTGCTAGGTCCAGGACTTGAGCCAGTTTTGGCCATGTGGTAGTCCAGCACCTTAACCATCATGCCACCTATTGGCCCCCCAACTCTATACTTTTAACAAGAACTATATAAAATTGAAAAACTGGCAGTAGCAATAACTATTATTCGTGCAATCATAACAAGGCTATTTTTGTTTTCTTCAGTGTAGCATTGAGCATTAAGGGTAGAATTTGAGTTTTGATCTCATCAAGCTGTTTTTTT